AAAAATTTCTTGCATGCATACTTGTCTGTGTATGAGGTATGATATTTCTCAGACTGAATACTGTATATTAGAGCTGTAGAAGTCCTAATGTTTTTCCAAGCTCATGCCTAATGTGCCTCATGTCTCTCCAGTGCTGCATATGTCTACACATTTTGGTCTCTGATGCATCAGTTGAAAATGTCGTAAGTCGAATATGAATGTGATATGATAAATAAGTAAATAATAAGTTTATCCTATCAATAAATGTACAGTATTGTACAGCACAAAACAACAGTTTTATCGCACCATCGTAAAGTTGAAACATTATATGTCAAACCATTGTAAAGCGAGAAGCATCGGTGTTTGATAATGAGGGCCTGGTGGTTCATAACTTTTTGATAATGAGGGCCTGGTGGTTCATAACTTTTTTGAGTTTTGAGTTATTCTACTCCCAGAGCCCGGCTATGGGCCAGGCTCATCCTGCCATAAACACCTTTTCTTTATCAGTTTCTGAAAAAATCAAAGGAATCTTGACATTATGATTATGTAGGACCATCTTTCCCAGGAGTTGGGCCATGTCAGACATTACTTTTAAATTTATTTCCAGGTCTGGTAACTGCTTGTTGTAGCTGGTCAATGGGACGTGGTACCTGGTGCCTCTACCATTGTATTTGCCTCTGTACACGTCTGGACTGAATGGTAATTTTCTGCCAAAAGATCATTCGATTGTGTATCTAAAAGCTTCCATATACTTTCCTAAGTTGCTAGTTGACATCGTTTGCACAGCCTTTCTCAGCACTTCCCACGAGTACTCTATATTCTTCAGTGGTAGTACTTTGATGTTGGTAAAGGACTTTTGATCCAAGGAATTAGAGCTACCCTTCCCTTGGATCAGACATGATTACAGTATCTCTCATTCCAAAAGCACCTTATGATCACTATGTGTTTAGCCCTTCAGTAAAAGAGGCATTGCACGTCAAAAAAAAAGAACCTCGTGCCAGATTCAAACAACAGTTTCAGATGTGGAAGAGATCAGACGGTAATGTCTACACTTCTTTCAACACACCGGCTGTATCCCACCGAGGCAGGGGGGCCCAAAAAGAAAAACAGAAGTTTCTCTTTCAGTAATGTATACAGGATGAAGAGTTACTAGCCTCTTGCTCCTGTCATTTTAGTCACCTCTTATGACATATGGCTATGGAGGAAGAATTCTGTTCCATTTCCCCATGAAGATAAGAGGAAATAAACAAGAACTAGTAAGAAAATAGAAGAAAACCCAGAGGGGTGAGTATATTTATGCTTGTACATGAATGTGTAGTGTGACCTAAGTGTAAGTAGAAGTAGCAAGATGTACCTGAAACCTTGCAATGTTTAGGGAGACGGAAAAATGGACACCAGCCATCCTACCATTATGTAAAACAATTACAGCCTTTCGTTTTACACTCGCTTGGCAGGACGGTAGTACCTCCCTGGGCGGTTGCTGTCTACCAACC